AAGAAGGAGGAATAAAAGAATTCAATATTGCTTTCTTTGGAGTGTCGCTTCTTTGAATCTTGGCATGCGAGAGAATGGATATTTATAACGATGAACTGGAAGATTATCATTTCCTATGAGATCATAGAAGAGTACACAAGGAGTGGGAAAGAAAAAGATAGAAAAATGTTTGTCGGTTCGCGTAAAAAAAAAAAAAAAAAAAAAAGAAAGAAAAAAAGGCGAGGCGTTGCGTAAATATCGGTCATTAAGCGCGTGCAAGTATTATAAGTCTCGCAAGTATCACACTAGCGGCGCGAAGTTTCCTGTCTCGATCAAGGATGCGATGTTGAAGTCAATTGTTTCCTGTTTGCATTCGTGGCGGGTTTCGAATAACTGTCCTCTTGGACGAATCGGCAACTTGTTTATCAGAATTCTCGTCGTCGGTTTTTCATTTTTTCGATTTCGAGATTTTCGAAGATTTTAATGTCGTTAAGGAATATTTAATCTTGAGATCTTCGGATTTCGAAACTCGAATCGTGTCGAGAAAAATCAACGTCGCGTGATGGTCCTCGAAATAGAAATTTTAATTAGGCCCGGATAAGAGAGATGTCGTGAGATGAATTTCACACGATTCGATAAACCTCGAACGGTTGAATTTAAATATCGCTTGGTCGATTTTCATCGTTCCACAAAGGTTTCGCAATTTATCCATCGATGTAACCGCGACGTGACTCCGATCGTCAATGTTATTTTGACTCTTTCCTCATAGGACGAGTCACGATCGTATCGAAGCGAGCTCCTCGCAGCTGTGCTCTCGTTCGACGTGATTCTCAATCGTAATGCGCGGTTCGTTACAGGGCATAAGTCAATTAAGTCGGTATATTAGCCAATCGGGTCCTTTTCTTTGCCGGAGCAGCTTTGCCTCCTCCGTTGATCATTTCGTTCGTATCTCATCCTGTATCGCGTTTACGTTTCGTTAAATTATTCCAAATCGATATTCCCGCGCGAAATTCTCGAGAATTCTCTTTGGAGAAATTCCACGATTTCGATTCCGTGTGATTTATATATATTTCGCTTAACAAAATTATATTTCAATTTTTTATGAATACTTTCGTTTCTGGAGAGAAGAGATACAACGAATATATTTCTGGGAGTTTTGATTTTTTTTTTTTTTTTATTAATAAGTTGTCTCGTGAAAGGTTCTCTATTCTCCGTTTCATTTAAATGGCACGCATGTAACACGGTGTCACGCGTGACTAAAATTATATTCCATTCGTGGACGTGGCTAATTAACATCGAAGAAGGTTAAACGTCGCCGCTACGTCGAGACGCTCGAATTTAATATGCGAATTTCCTGGCCCGAATTTGCATTTTTTAAAGTTTCATCTGCCTCCAACCCGGCCAACAGAAACCGTTTCCAATTCGAAACTCGAGCCGCCAGCTAAGCAATCCGTCCGCCTCGCGACTTGATTCGTTGTATTACCTATTCCTCGCTGTTAAAAATTCGCTCCTCTATCAACGTTCACGCTTACATCGCTATACTACACAAATCTCGTTCAATTTTACCTTGCAAATCTTCTTTCGGAGAAACTTTACTCAATTTGAAGATCGAGCCGTTCCACTTTATTTATTTTCTTCAAATCAGAAATATTTATCTTCCAATATCTTTTCTCCCCGAATACTTTTCTCTCGCGGAGCAATGAAAAAGCACAGTCCACGGTTAATAATATTTCCTCACAGCGTGTTGCACCGGGTTACAATAATCCAATCTTTTTCTCCCTTTTAATATACGCGCGTATACCCGTATTTCTGAGAATTTAGATGTTAAAATTGGCCGGTTGATTTATCGGTTTTGCTGCACGAGGCTCAGGTCCCGACAGAGGCAAGGCGCATTACCTGGTGGACTTTATAGAATCGTATTGCCACGAGGGAAGATAAAAATCGCTTATATCCAACCCTCCTTCTCGGCTTGGTATTTTCGTGGCTACCACTTAAATTATCGATACCGTGAATCTGAATTACCACGTTTCGCATCTTTATTCACGCCGGCTCGCCGGACAAGGACACGCGTCTATTTATCCAACCATCTAGTCCTGGTAAAACGTGTTCCAACCGCGAAAGCCTATGGGCTAGTTAAAGTGATTTATCGCCCCGTAAAATATATTCCTCTTGTCCGCCGTGTTCGAGCAGAAACAGCCAGTGGCCAATTTAGTTTCAATTCTCGTGCTAAATGTCTTCGAGCGAGTCGTGAAAAATATTCGTCCATTGTTCCTTGGCAAGCGTCGATTCGAATACCTGAAAAATATCGTTTCGTCGGTGTCCAGCCCGAAATGGAAATTTCAATCGTTTTTATTTGTCCACGCTTCGAGCCAGATATATCAATCCTTTCTCGACAAGTTATCTTTATATTTTTCCGACGAAAGCAAAAATATAAAAATCCGGGATTTCAAGTCGAGCTTGTTTAAAATTGATATTCTCGGGTAAGAGCAATCCAAGACACGCCAAGCTATCGATAATTTATCTCGAATAAATTTAAAGTAAATTGGAATCAGTGAAAGTCGGACGATCGATCCTTTTTTCTTATAACTGATCCAATATTAAATTATATAACTTACGTGATATCTCCATTTCTAAAAGCGTACATTTCCTTTTTTTATCCTTTTATTCAATTCTCATACAAAATCGAAAAAACGAACGATAGAAAAGAGAAAAAGAAAGATTTATCTTCTAAAAATTCCTCCCCCAAATGAAACGCTCCTCCAAGGCAATCTCTCGTCTCGTCCCGCGAAAATCGAACTCCCACTCCTTTCGAACCGCCAACTCCTCCTCCAACTCACCCTCTCAAAAATCAAAAACCGCACAACCCTCCGTCCTCCATTAAATTCCGCGAGCTCGTGAAAGCTCGTGGAATCGTGGAAGGAGGCATCGAATTTCACGGGTGTGCGACAACTTGGCCAAGTAATTATATTTACAGGGAGTGGCACTCGACCTACAACCTCGAAACTCAAACCCTTTTTCCCTGTGCCGCGCACCGCGCGGTCCTGTGGAGATCCGCGGCGCAGGACCAGGCCTGCGTGCAAACACGGGACGCTGGTTCTCGTCTCCATGGTTACGTACACCTCCCCCCCGCCCCTGCTGGCTCGGCGGACGTGGCACGGAGCAGGAGATGCAGGCTTTCATCCCTCCGTACGGGCGCAGCGCCGGGGCGGCTCCCGTGCGGCGCAGACGTTCGTGCCGGTTGACCCAGGTCGCGTGATCCTTTCTCTTCCCTTCTCGACAATTTTTTCCGCTTACACACAGATCGAGTGTCGATCGCTGTGTCCGTCTCGAACAAGAAAACGGAAGGCGAGGAAAGATCTGGTTTTGGACGGTGGTTCTCGTCCCGATTCCTCGAAAAATTGCAACTGCGAAATAGAGGAGCGTCGTTCAGCTGAGGGTGGCTCGGTGACCTTGAGCTGGTAGACCTTGAGGCGTGTGAAGAGGCGTGTGAAGTAATTAATAATCGGGAGGGTATCGATTCGACCGTTCATTTTTTTTCATAAATAAATGGGGACGAGATGGATCGATGGATCTTTACGTGCGATCGATGAAGAAAGATCGGTGGATGGAAAATTGGTGTGGTGCCATTGATATTGGATTCGAGAAGAAAGAAGGAGAAGGTCGTGGGTGAAGAGCGTCCGATTAGCACGCGAGAAACGAGTTCCTACGGTGGATAGGAACGTTGTAGATGTTGGTTCGGAAGATGCGATCGTTTCTCCTTTTTCTATCCGGCGAACGGAAGAGGCGCGATAGAAACGCGGCCGACAGGCGCCGAGAGATTAACAGGGGTGATGCTGGTCGATGATTCATAGTTGTTGGCAGAGGTTTCTCGCGGTTTCTCGCGAGGAAACACGGGGAAGAAGACGGCGGAGGAAAAGAAAAGGCGGTGGCCGATGTTGCGGAACTGTTCGTAACGAGCACGCCAGTCAACGGCGTCGACACGTGGCTCGTCTTCGACACTTCTTTCGTTGCAACTCTTCCTCCCACACTTTTCTCCCGCGATCAACGTTTCTTCTTCCATGGTATGAGTAACTATTTTGAAAAGNCACGCCAGTCAACGGCGTCGACACGTGGCTCGTCTTCGACACTTCTTTCGTTGCAACTCTTCCTCCCACACTTTTCTCCCGCGATCAACGTTTCTTCTTCCATGAGTAACTATTTTGAAAAGAGATTGTCGAGTGATCCATCAAAGGGAACACGTTCTACGTCTCCCTATAAATTATATCAAAATGGAATGTATATATATATATATAAGATACCCGAAGATATCGTGCATTAGAGGTTTCTGAATTCGCAATTGCACGGATCCCTTATCCAAACGAGCATGACAAACTCGAACAGTAGCTCGCTGTCGCGCGTCTGGCTACGAGCAAATTGCTGCCGTTGCGGCGACACGAGGCAGGACACTGTGAACAATAACCTCAAGGATGAGACGCCACTGCGGGAGGAGACCGAGACCCTTTTGCACCGTATCGCATTCACGGTTTGGCACACTGCCCTCCATATAGAGAGCGAGGTGCGTGGGTTGCTTCCTCTCCTCGTTCAATCTTGCTGTGCCCATTCTCGAATATTTCTACCAATGAATACACGCAAATAGGAAGGAAAGAAAAATGATAGGAAATTATTCGATTTCGAATGGAAAGAAATTAAATGGACGCACAATGCGTCCCTCTGAAGAGGGATGGCCGGAAATTTGTTTTCACAGAGATTTACGTAGATCGAAGCGAAATGGGAATCGATGATGTTTATTATCAGACGCATCGGCTCGAATTTACGCAACAGCTGTTTTCAGCCATTCGAACAATGGAGATAATTTACGCCCCGGCATTTGTTATCGCGACGGGCAACGCATTTCCTCTCGCGACGCCCTTTAATTCGTTCAGTCGAATACCCGTTTTCGTTTCTCTCTCCCTTCCCTCTTCGTCTCCGCTCGAGGCACAAGCCGAGGATCTCTTTATAATTCATTTCTTTCCGTTTTGCAGCATAATGGGGGTTACGAGGCGCAACCGAAGAATGTTAACACCATCTCGAGAAGCAAGCAGCAGCAGCAGCAACAACAACAGGTAAAGAAAAATAAAATTTCCCTATTTTTTCTTTTTTCCTTTTTCTATCCATAATTCACTCCCCACGTATCCCCACGTACGTTATAACACAAGCTATATTTCGCCGTAAATCATCCCGATAGATGTTTCAAACGAAACGAGAATCGAGAATTTTTGTCTCCCTTCGAAAATTGCTCTCTCCCGTCCCGTCTCATCCGCGCCGGCTCTCATAAATTATTCATCGGAATCTCGGTTACTACCAGCTCCGCTAATGAACCGATTCGAAATTTGCTGCGTTCCGTGGTCGCCTCCCGTTTGTCGCGCGTTAAATTTTCTCGCGGGCGAAGCTCGCCTCGCGCGTACCACCTCCTTTTGCCTTGGAGATGGCAGAGACAAGTGGATGGAAATAAGCGGCCGATCCGCGGCTATATATACGCGGCTTATCGTTCTTACCCGATAAGAAAGGCCGCGATTCGCAAGCCCAGCCCTCTCCAAATATTTAATATTAAAACAAACCGAGCGTGATACGTACACGTACGAGGAAACGTGTGCACACGCTCGACACGTTGGAGGAGCAGAGTCGATTACATCAGCCCCGTGACTTCATTTATTCCGCGGGAAAACACGGCCAGGACCTATTTACATTCGAAACGTTGGCCGTCGTTCCTCGGCTGAACAACCTTCTTCGCGTACACCCGCGATTCGACGATTCGGTTTCGCGTACGATCGCAATATTGAACTTGTCCCCTGCTCGCCTACGGAATTACCCTTCGAGGCGTACATACGTATGAAATCATTTGCATCGCCTCGGTAATCGTTGGGCGATAGATGGGATTTCGACGACTCCGTAAAAAAAGTTTTATTGTTCCGGTTTGCTCGGGACGAAACAGGCTCGAAAATTGAAAAATATCACGTTATTCGAGTTCTAGTCCTCTCGAAATTCATTCTCAATCAATTGGATTATTCACGAGTTTGATTGAATTTTATAGATAGGAAATTTATAAACCGGAGATGTTTGAAAAAATTAAAAACTGTAGGCAACGACAACGGTTTGTAAGAAAAGATATGTATTACTTGTATTTACGTGGAAAAAATTGGCCCCTTAATACTCCAAAAGGCGTGCCCAAAACGCGCAAAACTAAATAGCTCGTTATAATCGCGATTCCCTGATTCTCTTCATGAATACGAGCACAGAGGAGGTTTACAATTTTCCGCTAATTTTATACGCTTATTTTTCTAGTTTTTAAGCGAGGACACTGTGTTATTAGCGATACATATTCGCGATAACTATCTTGGATAGCGCAGCAACTTTAGAAGAAGTTTTAAAGCCGAAGGGAAGGGAATGAAAGAAACGAATGCGAGAAACGGGTCGGGAAATGTTTTACGCTTTATTGGGAGGATTTTTTCCCCCTCCTCCCTCCTTCCTTTCCACTCCTTTTTGAAATCGTAGCAGCGGGTAGGCCGATAGGCAACAGCCAGCCATCTTTTACGCGTTAACGTCTCGACAGGAGAAAATTATTCGGTAAAATGGCGGTAAGCTAGCTCACCGTACGAACGTTCCGCCAAGAGAGAGAGAGAGAGAGAGAGAGAGTATCAACCGATCCTCCGTCGAGATAATCCCAAGTATATTGACGTCGCCCGTATATAAATGCGTAACCCTTGTCCAACTTCGTGCCGCGGCCGTTCTCGCGAAAATATACGTACACGCGTATGTTATATACGCGGAATGTTCGGCGTGATCGGGGAGAATTTCTGACAATTGCTCGTAACTGGTTATTACCGATTGTCGCGACCAATCGTTCCTCAATGGCCAATCGCGGCTAACGGCTTGGAAATTTATTGCAAAATTGCTCTATCGATTTCTCGCGTCGCTCGAATACGCTCGATGTACAGATATATACGGATAGAAAGTTTCTATTTTTTTTTTTTTTTTTTTTTTTTCTTTCAATCGTTTAATATAGTTTTATGTCGAGTCTAAATTCAACTTGATGCTTCGTTTCGAAATTGGTATCGAAATTTCGATTAATTCGACGGGGTAAATTAATTAAATTAATTGGTGGATAAGGGAACGGTTAATTTGCATCGGATAATGAGGGAGGAAATTGATTTGGGGGAGACAATATCAATCAGAATTGAATATTACGTTCTATCTTGTGTTCCGTTTCCTTTCTCTGTTCATCTGAAATTCCGGGATATTTCGTAATTGGAAATGGCCAAATAAATGATAATTAAGAAAACGTCGTAGGTAGGAAAAAGATCGGAAGAATTCGAGTAATTTGAATCTGATCGAGATTTAATAATCTCTCGCGAGAAATAGTGGGAAGAGAACGCCTCGCAATAACAGAGAATTCCGATAAGTTTGGAATTTACCTTTGGCCGGATCTTTAGCGAAACATTCCCGTATCGATCGGATCTCGACGATGTTAACGATGAGGAGTGCACACATCGGGGCGGAAAGAAGTCGATAACGATAAAACCCACTCTCTTTCTCTCTCTCTCTCTCTCGCCACTTTGCTTGCAATTAGAAATTAGCCGGCCGGCAATTACGCGGATTAACGATAATTGACGTTACCGGCACGACGCTCCATTCACGCCCCCGAATAATAATTACTTCCTAGTAATGCCAAGGCCTGTGCACGATTCTATACGTATACACGAGGAGATCCTCCAACGGGCAGAAAAATCTCGTACGTAAACAGAGATCGATTTAAAAAAAAAAAAAAAAAACGATATTCTCGAGGGATCAGGATCACCTTCCTATTATAGGATCTCTAAACCGTTTCCTGGAATGGGAACAAGCTGTTTCGAGTTATCCGCGCGCGTTTGAAGTTATATACCGTAACGTATAACACGATGTTAATACGAGTAAGCAAGGGAGGAGTGAAAAAGCAAAAGTGAAAAATGTCGGTTTCCGCGAAAAATGCTTCTCGCTTTCGCGCTACGTTTGTATCGTGGCGGCCTCTGGTATCGAAGCGAACGAAACACGTGCACGTTTAATTTCCTCGATTTCTTTCCTTTTCGTTTCTCCTAATTAATTCTAATTAATTCGTCAAAATTTAATAATAATAATTTCATCAAGGGAATTAAGAAATTTACCATTTTTTTCCTCCTTTCTTCCTTCTTTTTCCTCTCCCCCCCCCCCATTACTTCGCAATTACAATTCAATAGCTCGAACAATTTGGCCGTGTCGTAATTTCGATCCAATTTCCATTCATCCTCCTCCGGGAAATTTATTCAAATATATTTCCGCCCGTACACGTGGTAAATCGAAAATTTAACGATTCCGCCTCGAGGAAAGGAGAGAGAGAGAGGAGGGGGCATCGAGTAGCCGAGTGGCGAGTCAAAAGAGGCGCGGAAGCGAGCGGATATCGAGCCAAGGCGAAGCGAGAGAAAGAGGAAGGTGCCTAAAAATACGTTTATGGGATCGTAACGCGGCTCGCCGCTTCCCTCTCGCGGATTGCTTCGCCTCGCGCGTTCTGTCGCGGACGATCATAAATCCCTCCCTTCGGCCTCACGTGTGAAATTGCCATTACAGTCTTACCGCAGCTGTCGAGGCTCCTTCGTGCCTCGTCGCCGCGTCCTTCGTGTTTCTCGCGCGTTCGCTTAGGATTCGAAGATCGTGCCGGGAGGGGAGGAGGGGAGGGAGCTCCTCTCGCGTCCACAGATCATGCGAGATCATCCGTCCGATGCTAGATCGAGAATCCGGTATCATCCGGGAGATATTTGTCGGGCGTCACGCGCGAGTAAGTCGATAATATCGTTCGACACGCCGGCCTGATTTTTCATTCGCGGCTCGCGTTTCGCGCGATATCGCGTTACGCTAGGGCGCCGCCTTTTTCTCACTCGCCCCGATGAATTGTGTTCCGCGAGTGAGAGGCGAGGAAAAAAATAAACGTTTCGGAGATAGGAAGTCGCATTTCTTGGATACTTTGAAGAAGGTGTTTTTATCGATTCTTTGACGGTAAGTAATTTCTTAACGATAACGATTTATCGTTGCAAACTTGTTGGAATTTTCTGCGATACGATATTTTTCGCGATTCGAGATAGCGGAGAATTATCGCTATTTTTCTTTTTTTTTTCTTTTTATTTTAATTCAAGAAAACTCGGCAGAGTTTTCGAGGAGGTTAGAATTACAACGTCATTGTAAGATGGGATATATGAGATTTTAATATATCCCGTTGAGATAACGAGAATCAACGTGTCGTTAATATCACTCGAGATCCATATTTAAATTGAAACCCGTGGTATATTTAAATTGAAACTACGTGGATGATTTTTCGGTTTAAAGAAATTGGATCCCGTATATTAAATACTGCCACTTGGAAAATGTATGTGGTTCGTTTCCACGCGTTTTGAACGATTTATCGACGGAGGAAACGAACGATTCACGCCTCGGGAGAACTCGTTCCTCCTCGTCTCCTCGAACTCGAGAATCACTCGTTGAGAAGACAGCTTCGAGCAGACGCGGCGCAATTCGCGGACAAGGAACTTATTCATATTTCTCGGTCGATTTTTCCGCGTCGCCCTTGAAGCGGAGTTAACCATTGGCCGCTTTATCCGTCCCCCCCTCCCTCCCCCCTCTCTCGTCTAATGACTCGAGCATGACTTTGACTGAAGTCACGCTACCTGGGCGAATTCGTTACATCACGCGGTGCACGCGGAGAAGAGAAATGGTTGCACGGTCGGGGACGCGAAGGAAGGAGGGGCGGAGGGGGATGGGTGGAACGTCAGCTGTGCGAGAGGAGAGAGGAGAGGCGGCGGGGCAAAGGCGAAAGACGTCGAATGAATTGAGTGGAATCGAGGGAACGCACAATAGGAGGTAGTCTGTCACCGTGCTGCATCGTGCCGCGTCGTGCTTGCATCCTTCTCGGTCGGCTTCCCGCCAGGATAAAAGCTCCTCGAGCGGCCAAGAGCTTGATGTCGATTCGTTACGAGATTCCCGTAGGGACAACATGCCGGACAACGTGGTCGCGGTCAGGATCGTCTACGCACCCAAATATTCCAAGGTTCTTCATTTTCGAGAGAAAAAGCTTGGAAATTAATTATCGAGACGAGAGATGATCGGTCGTAAAATTGTTGGTTCGTTGGAATTGTTAGCGAATCTTGGGTGGATAAGCGTGATTATGAATTACTCCCTCGAATTATACGTACGATAGGCCTTCCCTCTTTGGGAAAGGAAGGGAACGAGGGAAGAGAAATATCATAGAAAAAAGTAATTTACCAAATTGTTGTCAGAAATTAATCTTGGAATAAAAACGTTATCCTTGAAAAGAAACTCGAAGTGCAGTTTACGGCAAGTTCCTTGGGCCTTGTAAAAGGAGAATCTTGTAAAACTAGGTTGCGTATACTCTAAAATAATTTGTTTTCCCTCCGTTGAAGTAGCTGGTGAACTATTTTCTCGAATCTTTCCTTCCCCAGAATGTTATTGTACAAGAAGAATTTCGTACAATTTGCGGAACCGTATATACACTCGAAACTGCCTTTAAAATAATTTATTTCCCGTAGCAAGAAAGAAACGAGTGGCAACGAAGTAAGAGCGCTTCCCGGAGAACCTTTCTCAGGAGAATTTTGACGAAATCGTTGTTAAATTAGACTCTCTCTCTCTCTCTCTCTCTCTCTCTCTCTCTTTCTATATGTATACATATATCTTATTGAGAAGGTAGACTGGAAAATCCCAGAGGAATTAATTAAGAAAACTCGTACGCGTTTCAGATTCAGACGTCCTCGTCGACGACGACACCCGCGAGGACGCCAGGCGTCGGGGCGGACGCGACGACGACAGGATCCGGGAAAGGCGGTGGCCGTGTGACGGAAGTGATGGAGCTTTGTTACGTCACCGAAAGAATCATCGCGCTCTGGTACAGGGAGGATGCGCAGGGAGTCCTCGAACACGCTACCGCTCTTCTGCGTGGAAAGCACGCTGATAATTATATGGTGAGTAAATGGCGGCGAGATTAATGGGCCGATATAACGTTTTCTTTTTTTTACCAAATAATAACAATACCTATTAAACGGAGGAAACCAGCTTAGGATAATGTTGTCGGTGCTACACCATCTGCTACATCGACTAACGCGCTCTAATTGGCGATATTATTAATTAATAAGCTATCCTCGCTATCCTTGAATATCTTAATAATAACAGAGGTAAGTGACGCTCGATCGATTCCAGGTAAAAGGAATCGACGAGTCTCGACGATACATTTTGAGGAGATTATAAAAATTTTTTCGTCGTTATCTTTCGAATATCTTTATCTCAACCTCTTATATAGAGGACTCTTATCCCTCCTCCTTCTCCAAGCCTGTTAAATTTCACGATATCATCCTATAAACAGGAGTCACTGATCGTTACCGTATCGTCGGTGATATCGAATAATCGTGAAATATCGATTGAATTCGAAAAAATTTTCCAACTTTTCATTTTGGAAAATTTGGACAAAATTTGTTGATAATCTCACCTCTCTCGTTTTGCAGATATTCAATCTTTCGTCGCCGGGTCGTGCAGGGGAGCCAAACACGAGGGAAGCGGGATGGCCTCAGGGTCTGGCGCCCAGTTTGGAAAGATTGTGCGCCCTGTGCAAGGAGCTGGACTCCTGGCTGAACGGGGCTCCGAATCGCGTGGTCGTCCTCCACGCCAGGTGAGTCCTCTCTCTTGGTCATTTCTTTGGCCGAACGGACGGACTGGAGGAGGAGGAGGAGGAGGAGGAGGAGGAGGAGGAGGGAGAAAGTCCGTCGTCGTAGAGGAAGGCGAAGAAAAGCTCATTCCGCGCATCTGTTCAGGGGAAGCAAAGAACGATTGGGTGTGGCAGTGTCCGCTTACATGAACTACAGCAGCATCTGCGGCGGACGTGATCAGGCGTTGGACAGGTTTGCTATGAGGAGATTCCTCGACGACAAGATTGGATCCCTGCAGGTTCCCTCGCATCGAAGGTAATCACCGCGGTGCATGACGTTACTTGCCTGTGTTGACGTTGCCACGATAAAGCAAACTTTATCGCCTCTTAGTCGCGAATAACTGAGATAATGCTCGGTCGAGGCGGCATCGACGGGCGTGGCCGCGTCCAGCAACCACCTTATAGCGAATAGTTGATCGCGTTAAGTCCCTTATTTCGAAGGGAAGCGTTACCTCGAATCCTCTCCTCTTACGTAAAATTATTATGTCACGATTAATGGATGCGCGCCATGCAACAGAGTCAATTGTTCTTGGTAATCGTGAGAATAGGATTTTTCTTTTTTTTTTTTTTTTTTTTTTTTTTAAAAATAGCGTTGAATAACGTGAGAGATTTCGGTTAATTGATTATTGTGAGAGGAGAATAACGTTTTGATAGCGGAGTAATTCGGTTTGTTATCATTTTGAAGCGATCTTTTATTATCGGGCAATTAATAAATTGTAGAGAGACGCGTGAAAATATTTTTTTACACGACTGCGTTTAACTCGTATTTTGCCCGATTCTAATGCGTATTTGATGACTCCGTAAAAAGTGGAAGTTAAAAGCTTTCTATATCATAGCGTCAATAAAACGGCCGTAAAAGTCCCGTAAATTCTATGATAAAATACTCTACTCAAGGCCGATATAATTCTCGAATGTAGTCACACTTGTACCAGCTAACAGATATATCTGGCTCATCCTTTTAATCCATTGATCGAATAGATACGAGATTTGTTTCGTAAGGTGTTACCAGGTTTCCTCTCTACTTTAACGATTCTAAAACTTTCACGAATTGAATTTAGTCCCGCGCGTTAATGGTCGACGAAATTTTTTTTAAATTCAATTAATCTTCAGAAAAATAATTTCAAAAATTATCGCACGCGATCCCCGGATGAATATTACACGAAAGCTGAAAAAGTGGTAGAAGGTGACATCTAGCGAAAACCTACTGAATTTTACGAAAACTCCAATAACTCTAGTAACGATTCTAAAACTGCACGGAAATATAACTCACTTCAGAGGCTGAATGACCTCGTTTCCTTCTATTTTATATATATATAAAATAAAAGGAAAAATATATATATTCCCTTACTTTACAATCTCTCCTCCTTTAATCCCAAAATTCGAGCTTCAATTGCAACAATGATCATCTTATCGAAATTCCACTCTCACGGATATTTCTTTTAAATATTCTCACGTACGATGTAATAATTCCATCCTTGACAGAGCCACTATCATCCATCTAAGATGAGGTAGGATACTCGATAAACAAGGCGATCGTCCGCGTCGCCAGAAGCGGTTCAACGCGTATCGGAAGCGACGACGCGCGATTAAAAAATCGAGTCGAAATAACCGAATAAACACGATCCCCCGTAGGTAAACCTGTCAACCTCGCGCCATCCGTTCCCCGAGCGAGCGCGCATTTACCGCGTCTCTTTAAGTTTTCGTCGTTCGACGTTCACACGGGTGATCGTAATGATCCCCCGATCGAAGCCGAGGGGATGTCCTTATACGCGGAAGGTTACACACGGCGGAGCCCGTCGTCTTCCTCGTTCCATCGTCCGCGATCTCACATCCCCCGAACGATCGAGTTTCCCCATTAATTCCACGAGCGGCGAGCATTAGCATGTCGTTAGCCGTACTCCCCGCGAACGTATGAATCCATTATCGAGAGCCCAGGCTCTAGATGCAACCTCATCGTGCAACGTGTGTAACGCGCAGCACCTTGGGCTGCCACCAAGAAGCGAGCAGGTATTTTTTTTCTCCCCCCTCTCCCCCTCTCCTGTTCGCCAGAGGGGATCGAGGAGATCGTATCTGCTTCGTTACGAGCGACACGCGGGGATATTCGTGAGAGATCGACGCGAAATTACGGTCATGAGCGCTCACGAAGCCTGCATAATCGACAGGTATCCTTGGGACGACGGTTCTCCCCGATTTCTGATCTTCTCGTCTGATCTTCCGCGTTTGCCGCGCGCGCGTGTATCCGGGCAACCGTGTGTCAGATTAATCGAGCGTAAGCCGTGAATCGTCGCTGCGATCGTCGAGAATGGAATTTTCGAAGGAAGGAATTTTCGTTTCGTTCGTGCGTTGAACAGGAGGTTGCACCGTTTTGGTATAGGGATCGGTAAAAGTAAGTAAGTGAGAAGCTAGAAAAGCCTGTTCGCGGCGAGCGAGTGTCACAGTTATTAGGGGACGTTAAAATAGTTTGGCACGATGCGTTTACGAGAGGGAGGCCAAATACGGCGAAATATTCGCGCGAGGTAGATATTCGTGGTTGGACACGAATTATTACAGGAACGTTCGAACGTTTTTTTTTCGCTCCCTCGAGCGTTTCGTGATGGAAACGAGCCTTGAGTGATCATCCTGGTTGGTTTACCGATGGGATTGGATTAGGGGAGGGGAAGAAAAAAAAAAGAAAAAGAAAAAAAAATAGAATTACCTTGACCTAAGCGTAAATAACGTGGTACTCGGGAAGCGGTATTTAGGTGCTAATTGCTGTATCGTGTCGCGTGTCGTAATGTTTCTATTATGAAATTTTAGAACACGCTATATCACGTCTTTATATATTTTTTTCTTTTTAACGACTGGTTGTATTAATATTGGAGTTAAAATTTGGATTTCTTTTTTTACAATTATCGAAAACGTGCCTTTACTGTCGATAAATTTGACTAATTTTATCTTTGGAATAGTAATTTGATTAAAATTTTACCTCAAAATTCGATAAAAACCCTATTGAAATTAGGAAAACTTTAAACCGCTTTAACTCCGAAGATATTAATTCCCGGTCAATGGGTGAAAGATAGTTAGAAGCGCGAAACTTTACCCTTTAAAACGGTTTTTCATTTATCCCGATACGACTTCCGGTTCCCGAGATATCGTTGAATAAAGAAGAGGTAATTTTTAATATTTAGTTTAAATCCGATCGAATCCTATTAAAATTAGGAAAAATTTGAAGCGCTATAACTCCGAAGATAATGACTTCCGGTCAACGAGTAAAAAATCGTTAGAAGCGCTGAACCTTCCCCTTCAAAATGCTCTTTCATTTATCCCGATACGACTTCCGGTTCCCGAGATATCGTCGTGTAAAGAAAAAGCTAATTTTTAATCGTTTACTATCCCCATCCTTGTTTCTTATTCGGAATCCTCGCTCGCACCTCGTCTCGCTGACCTATCCCAAACTCCAGACAAGCGACAGTCGCGATTCCTGGAAAAACGTAGTACGCGTTTCCAGGAAAAAAATGTAGGTCACTATGTCGCGGACCCATTCATAATTTTCGCGCTATGTTAAACCGCGTACGGAAACTTCGAGTCCTTGTATCTCGGCGACCGTTCGAGATATCGAGATAAAACAAAAAGGGATTTCAACGGGACGCTTTCCTCTATTTCCCACGTGGATTTAGATCACGAAAATTTAATTTTTTCCCACATTTTTTTTACACGAAAAGTCGAAGTTCCATTTGTGATTTTATCGCCATTGCTAATGTAATGCGATTTTGGCATTTACGCGATATAAAAGTATTTACGTATTTACATTTTCATCATATGTTTCGCGTCTGTGAACGAATACTTTTAAAAATTGTTGCCGTTCCTTTTCCTCAGGTACATCAAATATTTCAGCGGACTTTTATCAGGCTCCTTAAGGATCAGTCAATCTCCCCTCTATTTAACGCATCTCACCGTCCTGGGCGTTCCACTCTTCGAGCCTACGGGTTGTCGGGCATTCCTCAAGGTCTACGAAGGTCTGAATCCCGTCTACACCTCGGATCTTTACTCCGTGACGAATGCTCGCGAGTTCACCGTGAATCTCGGGGGTCTTCGTCTGAGGGGAGACATTCTGGTGAAATGTTACCATAGAGTGTACTCGAAGCAGAGCCGGGAAGTAATGTTTTCCCTGCAGGTAATACCAACTGAACTACCAACCAAACTTTCCCAATTATCTACCAAATAATCAACATACTTCGTTCGCGCTATATATCATTTCTAATTTTTCTTTTCCCTAATTGATACACGATACATTCCTTCCACGTCCTTTTTTCTCAACGACCGACCCAACCCAATCTCGACGAGAAATCATTTCCCATAAATTACCTCTCCAATTCTCGTCGATTCGCATTCGACACTCGAGAAATAAATTAAATTAGCGCAATCAGATCGTATTAATCATTAAATCGTAGCTCGTAAGAAGCATTAAGAAGCGGATTTGTTTCATGTTGTTTCCGCAGTTCCACACCTGCGTGATTACGGAGAACGTGGTTTCCTTCCCTCGATCGGAGCTCGACGTCGCCTGCGACGATCCAAGGTGTCCACCTGACAGCGTGGTCACACTGTACTTCGCCACCGACGCCAAACGCCAGGACGGGCCTGTACCAGCGCCGACGCCTGCTGTTCCCCACGCCTCGGCCCACCACGACCCCATCCTCCACTGGGACAGCTACACGAATCTCGAAATGAGCGACGACGGTGAGCTATCATCCCCGTGTTAGCTGGTCTTGTTATTCCACGTTGTTGTGCCAAGGGTGGTGATTGGTGGTAGGTTACGACGAAGGAATTTCAAGAAGTCGCTTGGTTGATTAACGACGAGAGTAGAGAGACGGGAGATGGAACGAGGCGCTCGATTAGGTTAGATTAGAGTAGATTACAACGCGGCCGTACCAATTTGGCGCAATTGCTCGTGCGTTAGATCGGCTTACTGCGGGGAGGTCACTTCACGAGGTTGAGGAGAATTGGAAGAGGGTGTCGAAAATGAAGAGGAAAATTGTAGGTTAGATGGCAATCTACGTGTGTTGTGTAATGGTGGACGCTTTGTATCGTCACTGGAATTTTCCTATTTTAGTTTACCTTTTCCTTATTTCTCTAAGATATTTCTTGTTGAGAGTTCTTCGTGTATTTTCGAGTGTTTCGAGTAACGAGGGTATTATTGTATCATATTAGATCGGGGATCTAAGAAATTTCAGTTTTTACAATTGTTTCAAAATACTGGACAGGATATTTTAATTTTAATCTTTCTGTTCAAAAGCGTGTACAATCATGTTTAGAATCACTATTTCCGACGATTTTTAAGTTTGGATTTGGAAAGGATCGGTGAGACGATCACGACTCGTCGTGCGATTGATTAAATCGATAAGACAAAAACTCGGTCGAGTCCGCGATTCAAGCGACGGAAACTCATCGGGCCCCGGGACTAATTCTTGTTAATTTTCGTCCTGATGGTAGCCAATTAACCTCGATCCGTCGGCGAGAAGCAGTCAGAAATACAACTTGGCTCGGAGGGAGGAGAAAGAAAGGGTTACAGGTAGGAAAGAAGTGGACAGAGACGAAAACCTAGCGGTTAATGCGATGTATTTAAACTGGGTGACTAACGTCGCCGGAAATACGTTCTGTCAGACAGAGGTAAAATGGCGGTTTATCGCCGCGACAAACGCGTTTTCGTCCGGAAATAGATCAAAGGTCGACTCGCCTAACGACTGGGCAAGGTCCACGATGGAGCTCGAATAATAAGTTCGATTTCTTTTCGAGCTCACTGTTTTTTTTTTTTCGCAAAGCCAAGATGAAAGTTCTCACGAACCAAATCTTCGCAATTATCTTCCGTGCCATATCTCGTTCGTCGATCGATCGCTTGATTCAATTAAATCTCCTCCTCTCCGAGGTGTCAAAACATTTTTCAGCCGATCTCGAGTTTCGAAAAAATTCAATGTACACGTAAGAGCATTTGAACATTTTTCGAAGATTTCGGGAAAGGTTTTCGAAAATTCGAAACACGACGACTCTTTCGAAAAAAAAGAAGACGAAGGATCGACAAGATTGGAAATATCGAATCATCTATATTTCTTTGATATCCGTCCCATTGATGGAAGGGCAAATAGAGTGCATAGAGGGATGATGGATTTCTCGTGGACGCGTGCCGCGTAACGGGAACGAATCCCCCGATTTCCCCCAAATTCCGACCTACGTTAAACGAAACGAAGCGAATCGTCGCCCACGCTGCTCCTACCCCGGTTCACCGAACCGTTTCGAATATTCGGGACGGTTACATCACACCGTGACGCGTCCGTCGAGCGCCGGGGAAAAGAAACGGGACGAGATGAAACGAGAGACGAGTCCGATTCAATTCGTTTCGTTAACGATCGTCCCATGCCTCCGATAAAGCTGTGACCTAAATTGTTGGTTACATCGATGTGGCTCTCGAGGTTTACGAGGTTCGAAAACGAGGGAGAAAAGTGGGGAGAAACAACGCAGCGGAATCTCCGCTAAATGAAAGAAAAAAAAAGTGGAGAGGAGGAAAGAAGGAATGAAGAAATTTAACCGCGGTTCGTTTCGTTAATCGAAAAATAAAATAAAGTAAAATTTGGAAGGGGGAGAATATAAACGTTTGCCCCCGTGTCATGGCACGACGAATCGATTATATATATATATATATATATATGTGTGTGTGTATTGGTTTCATTTTTCAGGGTACATTTATATTCCGTCAAATCCGACGCGGATTTTCTTCCTGGTATTGACGCGTCGCCTACGGTTTTTCATTTCTGTCTGTTGTCACTGACGCAACGTATCGAAACGTGCATTCGATAAATGCACCTGGCTGCCGATCGGCTCTTTCATATTCGGCCGGATAATTGAAACCGCGGGTCGGTTCAAATTCATGAATTCGTACGGATAGACAGTCGATGGGAATTTTCCTCGTTAAAAAATCGGCGGTTTTCGTATGACGTGTTTCATAACGCTCTGGTTATTTTTCACAAAGTGGAAACGGGGAGGGATAGGATGAAAGGTGGAAGGAATTACGATTATACCAGGAAGCGTAGAGCGAAGCTTCGAGTTGTGAACCTTGAGGAATAAAGTAGTAGGTGTTGCGCGAGTGCCCACACGGTGCACCCACGCCATGGAAAATAAGATTCCAAGAGCTTGTTCTCGCTTTACAAACGATCGACTTTAACGACCCGATGCGCTGCAAGATGTACGAGTGCCGGCATGTAGGAAAGCTTGCCGAGTCCTTCCTCCCCTGTTCGGGAGGGGAAAATGTGAAATACATTATAAAATTTTCTCCATTTCGCACGTTTCCTCGAGACGAGCTCTCGCTTCGAGATCTATCTATCTCGGTTGATCTATCGCCAAGTATTTAAATTTACTTTTCATCGATGGAAATATTTATGAACGAGAAAATTTTCGAGAAAATTCTTTCGAAATTCCGAGATGTTCCCTCGAAGAACGAAACGTTAACTTTAAATTAATTTTTATGCAACGTGATTCCTATCCTTTGATCGAGATATTCGTCGTGCAGGATCACGTACTTGGACTTAATTTCACGAAGGATCCCATTCCGATCGAATTTTTCGAGGAGAGCGAATTTCCTCGAAAGGAAGGAGAAGAAATTTTATTACAATTTGCTCCTTTACATTCCTGGATGGAATGGGAATAGGAAACCGGGACGAGGAAATAAAGACGGAATCGAGCCTTATGGCAACGTGGAAATCTAGAATTAAGAGCACGCCCCTTAAATCAAATGGTACAGCGAGAAAATAACGAGGAGTGTTCTTTTTTTTTTTCTTTTTTTTTTGCACCGCGGCCGATCATTACGTTTGCTCCCCTTTCATTTGTCCCCGCTCCCTTGTAAGATCCCTTATCTATCCTTATTCACCGCCTTCCATCCTTAATCCGCGTAAATCTCTTAATAAACGGCGATGATCGAGCGACAAGAGGAACTCGATTAAATTATTATTATCATCTTAGATCTCGGCTAAAAGTCAAAGTTAATCGAGAGATGTTTTTTATCATTTTTTAAAGATCATTTTTTAAAGATTCTAGGAAATTTTCTAGGAAATTTTAGTGTATATATTTGCATTTTTTCTTTGTTCGATATTGAAATTCTTTTCTGCCAGATTTTTTATTATTCCTTTTATTGCTAGGATTTCTTGCCTTCTTTTAGCCCTGAAATTTATTCGATAAAAATTGAATTTCAACTTTCGTTCCAAGACTCGTTTCTAGAGGGAAACTTTAAAAATAACGTTTGAACTTAGAGCGAATTCTCGTATTAATCTTCAATAAGAAGCTCTACGTAAAAATTTGAATTTCTTATTAATTTCAAACGCGAATAATTCTATGCAAATATTTATTCATTCTTGTAATCTCAAATCTTTCGGTATGTATATATATCATGCATTTCTCCTCCCCCCTTACCTAATAATTAATAATTGATAAATAGGTCATCCGTGATCAAAATTTATGCACTCGAAAATAGAAGGAGGATAGCTATATGGATGCCGTACAAAGTGCAGTTTATCCTTGAAGCCGCCACTTGATGCTTTAATTTAGAACTTTACTATACCACGAAGGCTATTAAAACCGTGAGCGCACCCGACCAATTTTAATTCCAAATATTTCCACTATCTTCTTCATCGAAACCTACCCCCCTCCCTCTCCAGTTTACCCTTCTCTTCGCCGCACTTCCTGTTCCCTCGATTCCTCCTTTTTAAAGAAATATACGAGAAACGAATCGGTCGTTAAATATCTTCCGCCCGAGAAGTTTTGCCCCCAATTTATAGAAAACCGCTTCTCTCTCCGTTCCCCACCGATAAACTTTTATCGGCCGTAGAAGAAATAGCACCCACGCGACCACGTTCGTAAAACGAACGATTATTTTCCATTATATTTGTCTCGTATCTATCTATCTTCCAATATATATCCATATTCGAGAATCGAGTAAAAAGTAAAATTCATTTCAAAAAAAAAACTCATTTCTTTTTTTCTAAAAAATTAAATTTTAAAAAGCGAGGGAGAGAGAAATCTATCTATCTCCAAATAATCGAATCTATCTATCTTCCAATATATATCCATATTCGAGAATCGAGTAAAAAGTAAAATTCATTTAAAAAAAAAAACTCATTTTTTTTTTTTCTAAAAAATTATTTAAAAAAGCGAGGGAGAGAGGAAATGTGGCGGTGGAGATTTTCAGAAGGTCGATCCTCCGACGAGAAGACGGAAATGTAAAGAACTGTAGAAGGTGGAGTTGGTGGGGAGGAGTTTGGTTTATTCTTGGCGTCGGGACGAGACGGTGTTTAATAGTTTTCGCGCGATTCTACGAAGCACGAAGCCTCGAGCGGATTATCCGACGCTACGTTCGGTGTGTGCGTGATTCTGTTTATATTATACAAACCGTGTAGTGGAATTTCGTTTGTTTATATATCGATTTCGACACGGAACGACGCCAGACACGGAACGAAACTCGACGTGGATGGAAGTGTTTTCGAGCACCGTGCGTATTTCGTAAGTGGAAAATTTCTTTTTATCGATTGTAAAAAAGAGATCATCGTTACTTTTACATTTAATTAACGTCAATCTGATCACTCGCTCGCGTACGAATCGCGAATTTTTTTCGTTTAGAGTTTTTACGTACTCGATTTACGTAGTTCGAAGCGGGAGTACTTTTGATTTAAAAAAAGGTCCATTCCACGTTATTTGTA